TACTAGGGTGCAGAGGGCTGAGGTCTGATACGGTGACCGCCCTATAAAATATCCTAGGGCACGGCGATAGCACTGTAACACGGCGACTGTGAACCATTATTAAGTATGTGCGTTTGCATCACCGCATCGCACTCAAGTTTGTGAATGGGAGAGGACATCGGTTTTTCATCCTTTGAAAACGAATTGATTCCCTGTATAACTATGGCTCTGAGCTATAAATTCGAGTACTTGATCGGGAACGGATCCTTTATATTGGATACAGGAATATACTAATTACTCTACCTCTGGTGAATATATTCTAACAGTGCGTAGTCTTTATGAGTAAAACACGAGGCCCGAGTAACCTACCAGGGTTCTGCCAAAATGATGGTCTTGATTGTTAGTTCCAACTATGCTCTTCATATCCTGATGGGCCATGCCATTCCTCCCTTGGACATAGCGACGATCACCTTCACAACAGGTGAGCCATACACAACTTGCTTGGAAATCGGTCAGTGACAGGCTGGTTTGCATGCGACCAAAAGGCAAGCATTTAAACTTCCCTGCTGTTACCCCGTTTATGCGTCAATATCAGCTGCTTGTTAGCATAACAAAGAAACCTACTCGTAGGTGCAAGAACTAGTTAAAAAACAGATTGCTGCCGAGGCCTGAAATGATCGGGTTGGACCTTCGTCGGGAAAATGGTAAAAGGATGTCGATCTTCGCTGACTAAAATCCGCTGGTTGTCACGAGCATTTGCTTCCAGCACCAGAACAAATATCTGATCAGGTATCCAAACGATATTCGAGCAACTAACCAGATTGATTTCAGTTTAAACTATTTAAATCCTTATAGCTGGATGTATGTTGACGGAGCAATACATGATTTCGAAACTTACAGAGTCCGCGAGTCAGAGCACGTTTTCGTTTGCACATAACTAAGGTGGTTTCTCATCCGTATTCAAACCCTGTCGCGCACGACAACTTGATGTCACCCATTTGTGACAACCCAACATGATCGTGGTCTTAGCACAGAAATCTGGTGTCACTTTGTGGTTACTGTGGTAGTTTAGGGCTGTAGAGAGCCGTCAGCATTGACCTACATCCGACAGGCAGCTGAGAAAACTCTTGAATTCATCCGACAGCGCCGCGCAATGACTGGATCAGCCTGAGCGACTGTACCTTGTGCCCGCATTGAACATTCCCCCGACCAGCCCCGAAGAATAGAGAGTCGACTTGAGGTGACTGCAAATCTACTGAGATAAAATGGTGACCTTTACGAAGCAGGCATCAAACGTCATTGACATTCAAAAACTACCATATTTTTCGCCAAATAAGCAGTCTTTTCCGTGTATTGAGTGACCATTTGCGATATGAACTGTGGCCTTATTACAGACAAGACTTACTAAGCTCGAGTGATTGTGCGAGCATTTAAAGCATTATTGCAGATAAACTGACGAATCCAACACCCATATCTCTCTTCTCTGGCGGGATCTTTTTCCCCGGAAAGACCAAAGTGTTTTTGAACTGCATTCCTGACCGTGAACCTGAAGAAGTTAACAGTTGAAACGAAGAAGGAGATGCGACCACTGGAACAAGAGTTTTATTGTCCTGACGTTTCAGATTCGCATCTCCTTCTTCTGAACTGCTTCCTGTAACTCGCATATTCACCTCCCTTGGCAGTTGGAAAGAAATTTGTACCGAATGGACAGATTAGGGATTTCGTCGTTTACCTGACGATGCCTAATGAGACAGAAATATGCATCGTGCATGTCCTTCATGTTTGCCGGTAACGTCTAATAAAAATGAATGTTACCGAATCGGTTCTGTTCACAGGAATTCCTAGGTGTGCATAGACCTGACCTCAACAAAGATAGTATGCACGACATCCCTCCGACCAGTCCCGCTATGCGATTCTTAGTGCTAACCTATGTGCGTGGAAGAAGAGAGAAAACCAAACTCTCTTGGTCCGGCAAGTATGCTCTAAATGAAATACATAAGATTTATCTCGAATAGGACAGTCAGCACCCACTGTAACACAATAAAAAGGTCATCTCAGGCCATACAACAATGACCACTTGCATAAGCAAAACAGCGAATTCCAGGATACAGTAAAGAAAGAGGGGACTCAATCTCTTGTACGTAAATTTTATTGGCCTGAAGTTGCGGCTTCTCAGTCGAGCCCATCGTCAGAGGCAGCAGCAGGGTAGCAGGCGTACTGGTGTGCAGTATTTACAGGAGTTTGTTTGTACACAGCCACACACGTCCTGGCGTTTGCGACTCCTCTATTTCTTCGCACTTCCTTTGGTGATGTTTTGCTCGCTGGTGTCCGAGAGACTAGCCGTTACTTAGCAAATGCATCTTCTAGATACTGCATCTAACCTCGCCTGTGATGATAGCTCATAGTGTGAATCAAATCTGTCAGGATGATCAAATGTTAATTCCACCCATTGAATCTCTTCACTACGTTGATGAACACTAAGGGAACTTACTCATCCTACTCTGCCTTAGGACGCACTCTCTAGCCTGCCAACAACCACACATTACCTGATGCACCAACTATCTGCATCTAGGGAGTAAATAAAGTCAATAGATCCTGCCACTGGTCACCGTCTAATCGCTGTTGAAATGTATTCTCACCTGGAAGGTAAGACTTCAAGAGACATCACGATTCCTGTCTGCCAGGCCAATCTGAAGACGTGCAACGCTTTTCCGCAGTATACAAAGCGAGACCGTTTATCTGAATCAATCAATCAATCAATCAATCAATCAATCAATCAATGACAATTAGTAACTTTCACCCCCTGATATACTCGTTGAATCCTGAACCTGAAAGAGGTAGAACAATTCAGGAACTTTCAGCTCCTGTTCGTAATTTCCACAGAGTTGTGACATATCCATCCCTGATGGCCTATTTACGTCGGCAGGATGTCCAAAGATGGCCCGCCAAAATGGTGTTTATACTGCAGTGTCTTATAGGGGGATTGAAAATGCCGACATTCTGCCAAGGACTCAGAAGTTAATATATCCGAAATCAACCAAATCCAGAAGGTCAGAGGAGAAGGACAAATCAACAAGAGCAAATCACCAGATGACCCCTGTCATGTATGTATGAATGCCGTGGGCATAACTGCAAGACTAGAACATGGAGGAAAAAACAGACCACCGAATAACCCCACCTACGTACACCATCCATTCATTGCTCTCGACTGGCTCTCTCTCCCTCTCTCGATTGCTCTCGGGCAATTCATTACCAAGGCAGGAACAACGTCATGCATGTAACACGGAGGAAAAAAATTCGAAATTTTCTACGCCTCGACTGTGTATCCATAGTCGAGATTAGTCTGGTTGAATACCGTAAAATTGATTACAGCACTAACCGAAAGACTCTCCATCTTATTCGGTCCAAAGGAAACACGTCATTTTAAAATTTTCTACTGCCAAATTTCCAACTGTTGTTTATGCGGTCTCTGTCACATTTTTATCAAAAGTTTGCCTGGTCGTCCACTAGAGGCCATCGATGCTCGGCGGCTATATTACATGTACTTGCTTACTAGGTAAAAGTGAGTAGGCATGCTTTTGCAAATTTATTAGAGGTCTTTGCCCGGCAATTTTGTTATCATATTGTGCTACGCACGTCATCATACTAAATTATGGACACTTACTTCTCATTATAGGCAGTGTACTTCTACGAAAGTGAGGCACGTGGACCTTGCTACGCTCTGGAGGGGGACAAGCGTGGTCTCTTCGCCTACAAAAACTATCTGATTGCCATAAAAGTGAACAAGTAATACTTTTTTTCTAACAGTTAATGCTACATTTATTTAGTTTTTTTTCGATTCAAATATTTCCCATCGCGCCATATAAAACACCAATGATAGTATATGCCATCCTTTTGTCCACAGTTCGCACTAACAACAACTTATATAAGCCGATATCTCCTGTCCATTTCTTCACAAGGTCGGTCTGTTCACTCCCACTGTTTTGCGTGTTTTCATTGACATCAGCTTCATAAAATGGCGCGTAGTTATGAAGTACGATGTAGCTTTGGCCAATTAAACCTCAAATAAAATCAGCGTGCCTGTCTTCGCGGGTAAAACAGCTTGATTAATGGTTGCTAGTCGCCATACAGTCGCCTATTTTGGAGGCTGCTACTCTCATACCATCGATATTTCTATTTTCCCTGTTTTAACAACGAATTTCTACACATTATTCTGCTGATTATCATTTTTTTTCACAATGAAGTATGGTGCATTGATGCTCGCAAACCGAATAAAGACAGGCGTACAACACTGAGTCATGACCTTAACACGGCTCTCCTCAACCTACCTCTTCGGTTCAGTTTTACATTAGAATCCAGCAGATAAAGCATTCCGACCGCACGTTCCTCATTTGGAGTTCAATCTCATATTCTCGAAGCCTCAATTGACCTTGGGACTCGTGGTTTGTCTGAGGATAGATACTGGACTTGAATTGCTTTCGGACAGTTGAATTTACTGCCGGGGCAAAAGTAAACTGGCCTGAGGTGACAGCATCCCGAAAGTGGTCTCGGCATTTACTCGTCCTCGCTTTCTGAGACGTAAATTTTTAATGAACACGCACCTTTCTGGAACGGTGGATATCCTTATGCGTCTTTTCTGTTTAGAGAGAGCGAGAGAGATGCGCTTTCGATATAGCGACTATCTGGTGCTTCATGTATTCCTTTACTGTCTACTACCTGCCCCCCCCTTCCCCACAGTCTTCGACCAAAGAACTCCACCCCCGCACCGCCAATTGACTTTCCCAATGCGCATTCACGCGTGACAA